GCTACTATCCATTTTTGCTTATAATTTAAGTATATTCTCTATGAATGAGATAGAAAAGTAAGAAGCCCAAAATTACCGTCAAACTGAACATTTAACTATGATTTTATTCAAATAAAGAAGAACAAATAAAAGGGGAGACAGGAAGAAAAAAGACAAAAGTACACCGGTAGATAATCTTTGAATGTTTTAAAACTAGATACAAGATAATATGTAATACATGTAGTGTAGTGTAATTGGTAACTTATGTTATAGAAATTTTATTTTACACCATTTATGTATTCCCTGTAATAACTGACCCAATGTATTCAACATGAAAGTTGAGTATAAAGTGTTTCTAGAATCTGTCAGTGGTCTGGATTCATTAAAAAGTATTATGTTATGGTGGTACTTGTTCATATGAAACAATAACATGTTATACATTCATTTAGAGAGACAGTCCTACTGTAAAGAGCTGAAACGTGGAGAACTACTTCATCCATCGTCAAGTAGGTACAAGTAATTATAAACTATTGTCTACGCAAAATACTCAACACTCACTGGATGGATAATATCAGCAACAGCGTTTTATGGGAGAGGACAAACCAGCTTCAAGCTCAAGAGGAAATTAGGAAAAGATGTTGGGAGTGAATCGGACATCGGAAATCACTGAACTGCATCATGAGGCAATCCCTAACTTGGAATGGTGAAGAGAAGTGTAAAAGAGGAAAGCCAAAAAACATATTACTCCGGGAGATTGAAGCAGATATGAAAAGGATGAATGTTAACTGGATAGATCTGAAAAGGTGTTTGCAGGACAGGGTTGGAAAGAAAATGCTGGTGTGCGGCCTATACTCCTCAACGAGGGGTTTCAGGCGTAAGTGTGTAATTACATTCATTTAGACTACAGTAGGTGAAAATAGAATTCTTATAAATAATATTGAAGGTTTGTGGAGTTTGGTGAATGATACACCCCATTTCACAATGGACAGACCTGAGTTAGAGTACCAATGAAGACCAGAAAGCATCTAACAGTTTTTTTCATTCTAGTATAGGACTTTCACCTGGGATCGAGTTCATAAATGTTAAATCTCATGGTAAGTAAATAAGAATTAGGCAGCTGATCAGGGATCCATAATTTCACATTTTTCGAGGTTAAGTGCTCTGGCCTGAGACTGATAGGTCCTAGGTTCGAATCTCGCGAGGTGGGATCGTCGATATGCACTGTTGAGGAGTCCCACAATAGGACGAAACGGTTGCCCAGTTCTCGCAACAGGATTATTTGAAAGCTCCTTACTTTCATTTCATCCTTTCATGGTTTAAGTGATTATTATCAAGCTTTTATTTGGAATGCAATCTATCAGCACTGTTTTCTTTTCCAGCTTCATAAAGATGAAATTTTAGTTTTCCTACTAAGGGAATATTAGATTCTAAACGTGGTACCCTATGCATAAGAAGAATGTAAAATCATTTCCATACATCAGTATAGTGTGACGAACTTATTAAATCACCTATAATAATGCAAATGCAATAAACTTGGAACTATCTTACAAATTAAGTGGTTTATGTCGTCTTTCAGCTTATTGAGTATATAAGTAGTAATAATAGCCTACGGATTATTCATTAACAAGAAAGTATTGTAGAACATTGACCTATATCATTAGCGTGTAAATTATTTTATATATTTTTTGTTGTTTTGAAAATGCGATATCTTGCATTTGCAACAACAAACCAGATTCCAGTGGAGGAAGAAATCAGGAAGAAGCGCTGCAAGTGAATAGGACACACATTGACGAAATCACCCAACTGCGTCACAAGACAAGCCCTCACATGGAATCTTGAAGGTTAAAGGAGAAAAGGAAGACCAAAGAACACATTATGTCAAGAAATGGATATAGGCATAAGAAGAATGAACAGAAATTGGATAGAACTAGAAAGGAAGGCACATGACAGAGTGGGTTGGAGAATGCTGGTTGGTGGTCTATACTCCACTAGGAGTAACAGGCGCAAGTAAGTAACCGTCAGTTGCTATCATCTCTCAAATCCCAACCAGGTAGTCTATACCTACCAAAATTGCTCAGTTTACTTGTCAGTGACTTCATGGATTTGTGCCACGTTTTGGTCTGGCCGCCCTTAGCTTTCTTCCAACCTACTCCTACACCATGAAACATCACTCGTCGTGGCGTCTGTTAGTTAGGCATACATAACCCATTTCCTAGCCATCTCAACTAATGAAGTTTCACTACTTCATCAATTGATTTACTGGTGATCGTCCTATGCTTCTTCATGAGAGGTAGCAGGTGTAAGTATATTTTTTTTCATTAATATCAGTTTTCTCACATACCTCATTCAGATTTAGTATTGATATAACTTTTCTTTCAAATGTGATCATAATGCTTGATACATAGAAATCAGTTCTATACTTACCAAATTTATTTTGGATATTCTGATTAACATAAATACAAGATAAAGTTGAATAGCTTGTAGAGAATAGTACAATTCGATGATATTATTCGTTACGATCGACAGAAACCAGCTGTTTCGTTACTGTTTCTGAGTCCTCAGTTGTACATACCAATGATTTCTCAAAAGATTGACCTTAGAACCATCAAACATTGAGGTAATAATGTTACACTTAGAATACTCTATCAAATTAAGTATAGTTGAGATTATATGCCATCAGATTTTAACCAGATATCATCTGAAGGTAATATGTAACATGAAAGACCTAAAGTTCATATGGTCTTGGATGTGTAAGATTGAATGAATGAAAATTTAGTAAACATTAAAATTTTCTTAGAATGATTTATATCTAATATCACCCCTTTGACAGAGATATCAGACTTTTATTATCAAAAAAACAATCTATTTCTGAAGTCAAACTTAGTTTATCCCTAATTTCTATTGCCCTTATTATCTATTAACCTTTACAACATCAGGCATTTCAGCTATACAGAATGTATCAGATTTTACTTTTGATCGATTCTTCTGTGATATCAATCTTCTTTCATACACATAGAACTATGTTTTACTCCCTTTCTGTCAAAAGTGAGCAACTTTAGGATGATTTTTAATTATAATTAATTCAATTCTAATAATTCTGTTTGAATTTGATGCACAAAAAAATTAAATTAGATTCGATTTAATTATTAAATTATTGAGTCAATTAAAGCTACACAATCATGGAAAAACTGGGAGCATTGGAAGGTCGTTTCGTCATAGTATGGGACTTCTCAGCAGTGCACATTCACAATCCCGCCAGCGGGATTTGAACCCAGGATCTATCACTCTCGCGCATGATACAGTAACTCACTGAAGACATTAGTGGATGGTGAATAAATTTCGTGGATTGATTGAAGTTAGACGTTAACACAAATGGATGCCGGATCAGTTGTCTACAGATTAAGCGTTCAAACACGAGCCCGGGGTTCCTGGGTTGGAATCGCGCTAGCGGGATCGTGGATGCGCGCTGCTGAGGAGTCTCATACTATGAAGAAACGGCCTTCCAGTGCTCCCAGGTTTTTCATGATGGTGTAGCTTTGATTGACTCATTAATTCTACTAATAAATTACTGCGATCTCCACAAAACCCGCATCTGATAATAATTTCGATTAATAAAAAAATTTTAATAGTTGAAATCATGAGTCAATTGAAGCTAGACCACCATGAAAAATCTGGAAGCACTGGACATCCGTTTCGTCCTATTATGGGACTCCTCAGCATGGCGCATCCACGATCCCACCTCACGAGATTCGAACCAAGGACCTACCAGTCTCGAGCTAGAGCACTTAACCGATAGACCACTTATTCAGCCGTTCTAACTTCAACCAATCCACGAAGTTGAGCAACCGTTCACCGATTGTCTTCAGTGAGTTGTTATCTCATAACAAACGTGGTTGAACTCCACTGGTCACTGCTTCCCACTAGACCTTCCGGACATGTATCTTGAAGTCAGTCACTAGTGAGCATATGATTATCCAAACAGTAAGTCAATGATGGATAAGCACAGGAGATTTTGTATGTTCAGTATTTTTTTAAAAAATAAAATAAGTCCATGATCTTTTGTATGCTGACAACTTCAATACGTCAGTTCTCATATTCAATGAACAGGTCATGGATATGAATTTTGATAGGATGAGATAAAAAGGTGAGATTATTTCAGGGTTAATATTTTTTTCATCAATTTTGTATGAATCTCATTCAATATGACTCATGTAAACCTTCTTGCAGTGTGACATTTATATTCCTTGGATCACTTTAGGTGGACTATGGTCGGAATGTTTTTTTGCCGAAATTAATGTAAAAATGAGTCTATTTTAGTTAAATGACAAAGTGATGACTTTAAGAGTTAATAAATCATTACTACTACCAAACTTTCTACCTCCTATGTTACGGTCTAAGATTTCCAGTGTCTGATGGTTGTCATTTATAAGTAGTAGGATGGCTGATAGATATGCGCCACACAGATCATTGGGTTTATGTGAGGGCTTGGATACTACTTAGGTACCCAAATCGAAGAAGGTGATTTGATTAGGGGGCCACATCCAGAGTCTTATACCTATAGGTTTGATCTATAAGACAGTGGGGCAACATAGGGAGATGCAGTCCCATATATCCCATTCATACAACATTTATTTCCTCAGGATCCTGGAGCCGATGTCTACCATTGGTTTGGAATGAGGGTTTTCCAATTCCTATAGGTGGATCCTTCATATCCACCTATCTGGGCAAAGCGTCGGACATTCGCTTTTCGTCCTCTCAATTTCGTAAGCAACACTGGTGCCGCAAAAAAGACAGTGAGTAAGACTTCTGTGACAATGGCTGTATACGCATGGTCATATGAGAGTATTTCGAGAGTGAGAGCTGACTTTCCCCACTCTCAGCTGTACCAGTGCATTTGGGAGCAAAGACGGAATAAATGACGTCATCAATCATGAATGAACCACTGACTGTTTCTTTTCACAATGAACAATTTTTCTCTTCCACAATAACTTTTCGATTGACATCAATCACTTAACAAGAAATTGTTTTAACCACTTTTAATGAAGTAAAAAAGACGCCGAATAAAACAGTTCTCACATAGATACAAATATTTAGTTAGGTAAACAATATATGTATATATTACAAATTATCCCCCCCAAAAAAATATTACTTCCATTCTTGACTGTTATTTTTTCAATTTGACATAGTGACAAAAGAGAAAGAGAAAGAGGGATGGCGGGTGGGGGGTGAAAAACAGTTACTGTTTATATAGTATCCTATCATATTTCATAATAAATCCATAAATTAAATGATGCCCATAAACAAATGCTTTAATTCGATCACCTATAAATAGACTAAATAATAAAATAGGAAAATATTGTATCCATCCCCACCATAACATATGAAAAATATTTGGATGTGACCTTGTATGAGAATGATGTATTCAAACAAATAAGAGGGAAAAGAAAACAAGTAAAAATAAGTTAAGGAAAATCATCCCAGTGATTATCAAATAAAATTAAATGTAAACTACCTCCTGGTCGAATTGGCGATTCTAAGATGGAACTGCTGTTTGTTCCTGTATCCGGTGTTGGTAATGTACATATGCTTCCCGTAAGCTAATTGAGAGAAATTAAAGCTTTATTGGCTAACATGAATCGAGAGAGACCTGTACACCCATATATATTTTTCCCTTATAAAAATCAGTCACATGTTCAGTTAACATCTTATGCCTCGTTCTTTAGGAAACGAAGCCAGACATTAGTTAGTAGCGCGTGCTTATTATTTGGCCGATATCTTATTAACCTACAATACTACCCTTGATGGGTTCCTCTGTAAGAATTGAAGTCGTCTACGTCAAAAGTTGACTGATAACCAAATTTTATACTCTGCCTATTCAACAAATAAATGAAGTAAAGTTCTAGAGGTCAAGTTCTTCAATACTCACATCCTTTAATATCTCAACGTTTTGTTCTCAAAAGTTCTGCCTAAACCATGTAATGGATGGTTCTTTTGAAAGTCACTTCGTTAACAACCAATTGAACAGTAAGTTGATGATTTTAAACCACAAGAGACCAAACATGTTCCATGTTTTCATCAACACAGGAGATTGACAGTGGTTTATCTTCACTCCCTTCCCACTTTTAACATCATTTTTGAGGTCTGTACACATTTTAGTCAAATACTAGATCCACCAAAGAATAGAACAGGTTATAAATAAAAAACATTAATTTCCTTAAACATACAAGATGTGTGAGATATGACTGTCTTGAATTCGTTACTGGATGAAATGACTATTTGTATAATATTAGTTGAGGGGATTTACAACCAATTTCATACTTATTGTTGAAAGCGTGAGTCAATTGAAGCTAGACTACCATGGAAAACCTGGAAGCACTGGATGGCCAATTCGTCCTATTATGGAACTCCTCAGCAGTGCGCATCCACGATCCCGCACATAGTCGAGAAACATGATCCATTCTCGAGTTTTTGGGACATCCCACTATGCTACTTACTAATAATCAGTAGTTATTTTATACTCAACCATTTAAATAGGCTGGTTAGTATGAGTGATATCTTTTATATCAACTTGTTTCCATTCATCTTTTCATTTGTAATAGTAACGCTTCCTCATCCAACTGATTTTCTTTAATCACCATACTTTTTGAAGCTTTATCTATATTGAACTAATTAGATATTTTCTCAACTCAACACTTCGTTTATTACCATTTGAGTATTACTGTTTGAGTGTATCTTCTACAGTGTAATTGAACTCAAACAATTCACTGTTCAAACTTTGTAACTCACATTACCATTTAGTTCCGAGACTTTCACGCCTAATTAGATCATGATTACGAAGTCGTTAACATTTTTAATGATACTTACTTACTTAATTACGCCTGTAACCCCCAATGGAGCATTGGTCGCTGAACACCGTTCTCCAACCCACTATGTCCTACCCCTTCCTTTCTAGTTCTATCAAATCATTGTTCATTCTTCTCATGTCTGTCTCTATTTCTCAGCGTAATGTGTTCTTTGGTATTCCTCTTCTCCTTTAACCTTCAGGATTCCATGTGAGGACTTCCCTTGTAACACGGTTGGATGATTTCCCAATGTATGTCCTATCCACTTCCAGCGCTTCTTCCTTGATTTCCTCCTCGACTGAAATCTGGTTTGTTCTCTTCTACAGTAGCATGTTGCTGATAGTGTTTGACCAATGGATCCAAAGTATTTTGTATAGACAACTGTTAATAAACACTTGTATCTTCTGTATGATGGATTTCGTAGTTTTCCACGTCTCCGCCCTATACAGTAAAACTGTTTTGACATCTGTATTGAAAATTCTGATCTTGGTGTTGGTTGACAGTTTTTTTCAGTTACAGATGTTCTTCAGTCGTAAATATGCTGCCCTTGCTTTGCCGATCCTCGCCTTCACATCTGCATCTGGTCCACCGTGTTCATCAATGATGCTGCCATTTTGATGATACTATCATATAGGAAATCACACATACAGGAAACCAGTCACACACTAGATGACATTTCATATTATGAAACTAGATGACGCCAGTTTGAACTCCTTGAGGATCATCAGTTCTCTTAAGAGTGTAAGGAGAGCTTGTTTACGAGTACTACTTAGCTCAAAATCTAGATCAAACTGAGGTTTTCTCCTGATTATCTGAAGCCATTTTAATAAACAATCTTTTAAACTTAGTTAAAATATTTTTAAAAAACGGCGCGCACACAAAAAGGATACCAAATTTTGTTTGGTTTATAAAACAAAGTTAAATTTAATACTAATGGATCTAAGTAACTTGCAGAACCCAATGTCCAAGTTTCATATTTCGGATCAATTTTTAATGTTACTAGAAAAGAAAGGACAAAAATTTCAAAATAGTTAATCTCTAACAAGGAAACATAATAAAAACTAGACCACCATGGAAAACCTTGAAGCATTGGACGGCCGTTTCGTCCTACTATGGGACTACTCAGTGGCAGTGCGCATCCACGATCCCGCACTCGCGGTGACTAGTGAAGTTCAACCATGTCTGTTGTGAGATATTTACTCACTGAAGACAATTGGTGAACGGTTGCTCAACTTCGTGGATTCGTTGAAGTTAGACATTAACACCGTTGGATGCCGGGCGGTTCAGTGGTCTATCGGTTAAGTGCTCCGGCGCTAGACTGGTAGGTCCTTGGTTTAAATCTCGCGAGTGCGGGATCGTGGATGCGCACTGCTGAGGAGTCCCATCATAGGACGAAACGGCCGTCCAGTGCTTCTAGATTTTCCATGGTGATCTACCTTCAATTTACTCAGGATTTCAACTATGAAAATACTGAAATCTCCACAAAACCCCTTCTGATCATTAAAAAAAGCATCAAAAAATATTGTGAATTGATTAAACTTTGTGTAGAAAAGTAAAAAGATAAAGTTTATTCGAAAAATATCAGTCATTCAATAAGCTACAACGTAGGACCAGGCACATATATACATCGGTCCAGGTTGCCATACCTCATTAGCATAACAAGATCAACACCGAATTCATAGAAGTAGTTCATTTAATGGTGGTAATTTATAAAAGAAAGATTGTATCTAAGGTTATAGTATAGGAAGAAAGACAGATAATTTAAGGAAAGACAGAGAGTGTATACACCTACGTTATTGTGATCAATTCTGAGTCATGTCACCTAGAGTCTCCAACCATTGATTATGACAACTGTTTCAGTTTACTAACAACAGATAGTTAGTATGGTTTATGAAGTAAATGATTCCATAAGTTAAATTCACTTTACTATTGTTTGTTTGAATCTTGCCATTGATGTTTGGGACTGCAACTGGTAAGTCTCTAATTGGCATATATGCATACTGTGCGTATTGCCTCGATATAGCCTTAATTCACAGTCATGGTAAGCAGAGATGAATAGTGGATAGCAGTGGATTCCAGGACGCGCGTTTCGTCCATTATCAACTCCATCTGACGAGTCCCAAATAGGACGAAACGCACGCCAAACTGGATTCCACTGCTAGCCACTATCCAACTCTGACTCCATAACTTGTTTAACTCTAGAATGGAAGCATTTATAAATGGCTATCAAAAACAGAAGAGTTGTAGGTGTTAGTTGGAAGAATGCTAGGGTTAATAAACCATGACATTTCATTATTCCATGAAGACAATAATTGTTAAATTAAAACTTATTAGTCGGTCCAAATTACCTGGTTAAGATCCAATTGATTATTTTAAGCAATGGTTGGTGACATTCATGACATATCCATGAATCAATCTTACTAGCTCAAATGTATTCAGTCAATCTTTACCATTCCTTCTGCAAATATCAATCCATCTTCTCTAATTTCATTGTTTATGCATTTTCATACCGATTGTGCTTCGTTCCTGTTCGTTCCTTATCGATCTTCTACCAAAATACATTCTATGCTTGACCATCACCGTATACTACTTATATGGATATAAGTAACCCACACTACAACATTAATTCATTCTTCTTGAATAGTATTATCCAAGCCTAATGTCTAATATTAGCACTAATAATCTTAGTTATCCCACTACGCTAACGTTCCTGTTAAGAATTTCATCTGGTTGTGCTAATATAGTGTTACAACATGAACTAACTAACCAGATTCTATGTTGATTATAACTGATCGGTTTCTATTTTATCTCTCCTATTATTAACTTTATCATTTAAGCATTCACCGTTAGACAAGAAGATCTTCTGAATTCTTCATGTCTATATCATTTTTCTCTTTTCAAATTTATTCCACTGGATTATACTCCTCGAATAACATCTTCAAACCCTAATCTTTCACATTCATGCTTATACTCTTACTACTTCTACCACTATGGGATTTGAATCGACAACTGCATCTCTGTGTTAATATGGAATGGCAACTCGAACTGATGTACGTACGTACGAAGTTCTACGTTGTGACTGACTGACTGAATGACTGTTCTGGAAAATCTTACACTGGAACAAAGTAGCAATTCATTACTACCTAATTTCTAATGATCTATCAACTGTGATCAATCTGTCATGAATATAACTCTACAAATAAAACTAATCATTCAATTCATTGAAATATTAAATAAATAAATAAAATTAATTTATGATTATGAAATACTATAGTCGTGATCAGGAATCAATTGAAGCTAGACTACCACGGAAAACCTGGAAGCACTGGACGACCGTTTCTTCCTATTGTGGGACTCCTCAGCAGTACGCACCAAGGACCTATGAGTCTCGCGCACGAGCGCTTAACCTCCAGACCACTAAGCCGGTATCCAACAGTGTTAATGTCTAACTTCAACCAAAACACGAAATTGAGCATCGTTCACTATTGCCTTCAATGAGTTGATATCTCACAGCAAACCTGGTTGTACTCCGCTGGTTACTGCTTGTCACTAGAACTCCAGGAAATATCTCTTGAATCCTGTCACTAGTGATTGGTTAAGGTTAGATATTAACACCGTTGGATGCCGGCCAGCTGAGTGGTCTAGTGGTTAGGCGCTCGCGCACGAGATTGATAAGACCAGGGTTCGAATCTCACGAGGTGGGATCGTTGCAGAGTCTCACAATAGGACGAAACGGATGTCCAGTGCTTCCAGGTTTTCCCTGGTGGTTTAGCTTCAATTGATTCATGATCTCAACTATAAAATTACTGAGATCTTCACAGGTCTCCCTTCTGATAATTACGAAATACATTTACTTACCATGTCGTTTATTTAAAAATTTTTGAATGGTATCCAATTGAATATCTTTAAGTTTATGTTGTTCGTTATTGATAATTGAATTCTATTTAATCAGAAAAAAACTTATTGTTTAAATATTTGAATATATAAATATTGGTACAAGAAGGCACTAAATAGATATACAGCACACAAGTCATTGGATTTATGTATGGGCTATGACACTGCCCGAATGGTCACACCGAAGCAGCTGGTTTTCTTAGGAGGGCCACTCTCCAAGCCTTCGACCTGAAGGTCTGATCCACAAGGTAGTAAAGCAACGTAAAGAGATGCAATCGCATGATAGCCAGTGACCAACAATAGGTTCATATGCCATTTGTTTCTTCAGAATCCTGGAGCCCATGCTTACTATTGGTTTCGAATGAGGGTTTTCCTATTCACTTAGATGGATCCTCCATATCCACTAACCTGGTTTCGATGTCCGATATTCACTTTACGTCCTGTCAATTTCGTAAATAACACCGGCGCAGCGAGAAGGCAGTGAGTAGAACTTCCTTGGCAATGGTTGTATACATTTGGCCATGTGAGAGCATTTCGAGGGAGAGAGCTGACCCTTCCCCTACCCTTGGTTGTACCATGGCATTTGAGGGTAAACAATTCTTGACTTTACATTTCACATATTAAACAACATTATGTTTTGTTTTCATTACACTATAATTGTTAAAATGATAATCAATCATACGAACTACTTTCATATATTACTATTAAGATCTTATCAAGCTAAGCTGGTTTGGTTGAGACCTTCTTAAATAAGAATAAATTGCTTAAATATGGGGTATATATAATGATTCATGGACAAGGAACTTCATTCATTCAAAGCATGAGAGACATTCAAAAGTGCAAACAAATTGTAGATGACTAAAACGTCATCAACAACGTTATATTGTAGTGAACAAGAAGACGGGTGGGGACAGTCGAGTACATCCGAGCACAAATAACAAACTATCTCATTAAATTCTGATAACCGTACAGTGATAAACAGTTAATGTGCACACTATCAATCAATTGTCTCAATCTTAACTGTCCTTTCTGCAAATATCAGTCCATCTTCTCTAATTTTATTGTTCATACATTTTCCTACCAATTGCACTTCATTCGTGTTCTCTTCTTATCGAACTTCTGCCAAAATACATTCTATGCCTGAACATCACCATATACTACTTATATGGATATAAGTAGATCACACTACAATATCAGTTATAACTCAATAACCTGTAAGGTAAGAGGATAAATTACAATAGTATACTGTCTTTTTGATGGTGTATGTGTTCGCTTAATTAAATAGTCTGATTATAAAGCTTTCATTATCATTTCAAGCATCGTCATCAATACCCATTTCATGTAGAAATCCATATTTTCTATTTCAAGCCAATAATCTGAGTTTATTTGAGATTGTTCTTGAATGTGAACAACTTGAACAAATAGTCGTCATGAAGAACAATTGAAAGAAAAGCCTAACATGTTTTGGTCGGATTTGATCTAACCAGATAACTTTCATATGTATGCTGTATTGAAAATGATCTTTGACAGACAGTTCGTTTAATCGTTTTAAAGAAATGCTATAAGCGCGGTTGAGTTCGAACGCAAATTCCTTTCTTTCATATCAAAAATATTCACCAACTGAATAATGGCAGGAAAATAAACAAAATGGGAACTAGTTCATCAATTTGTTCATAAAATTGTTGACTTCAGCTGTCAGTATGGATCGGAAAGTGGGACTGGATTTACAGTGGCAAATATTGTTGGTCCGTGTCAAGTATATCCAAATTATTGTTATTCTAACGCAACAGGCGCCTTTATTAGAATATCTCAGAGAACATAGCAGCCAAGTAGAAAAGCCAAGAACGAACAAAATACCGAGGGCATACAGGTTTTCACACCGAATTATCAATAATTGGAACCTGTTGCCCGAAGCAGTGGTGTTTGCACCTTCAATTGGCTAATACAAGAGGAGACCGGACACTCACGGAAGCATACTAGAAAAGGAATAACATGGGCTGTAGACCTTCTGTCCTTACTACACAAATCTAAATTAACAACTCAACTCATGCTGAAATTTCTATAACAGTTTAGTCTCATAGACTTGCTTGTACTGTCATGAGTTAAAAAAAACCAGTGGGCATTTGTTTGACACATATCATCATTTGAGTTTCTTCAAGATCCACTTATGGTGAACTTCAAAAACTATTACAACTGACTAATATCAATCCACTATACATCACAACAATGATGAAAATTATTGAAATGTAACAGAAAATGATTTGTTTATTTATTTATTTAAACACATAAATATTGGTACAATGAGGTACCGGATACTTATGCGCCACACAAATCTCATTTGATTTGTGTGAGGGCTACGATACTGCCTGGGTGCCCAAACTGAAGCAGGTGGTTTTTATAGGGGGTCACACCCCGAGCATTTGACCTAAAAATCTGATCAACAAGGCAGTGGAGAACCATGAGGAGATGTAGTCCCATGGTAGCCGGTGACCAACTATAGATTCATACGCCAATTGTTCCCTTTGGATCCTGAAGCCTATGTGCATCATTATTTTGGAATGAGGGAATTCCAACTCCCCTAGGTGAACACTCCACATCCACTAACCCGGTTAAATCGCCGGATATTCGCTTTTCGTCCTCTCAATTTCGTAAACAACACCGGTGTCACGAGAAGGCAGTGAGTAGTACTTCCCTGGTAGAGGCTATATACACGTGGTCATGTGATAGCATCTGGAGATATAGAGCGGATTCTCTCCATTCTCAGTCGTACCAGGGCATTTAAGTGCAAATAATATATATGTACATATCAAATGAAACAGTGATTACTTACATTATAGACTGTATTCATATAACCTTCAAGTAAAGGTTCTCTTTGATGTAATGATAATTGTCCATACATAGAATATTTACAAAATCCCAATAAATTTGGCATGTCAAATCGAATAATTAATGGAGTTTGCATTATTAAATTCATACGTTCCTAAAATTGAATCGGATGGATACACTAAATATACTTTATAAAATGTATCTATCCAAATGAACAATCTAACTATAATAAGAACAGAGAACAAAAGATTTTTTCACAAGTTAGTTAGTATGCTATGGGGATTGAGATTGCTAGATGAACAATACACTTCATTTTTATCAGAATGCTCACTAGTGAATGACTTCGAGAGGTAAATCCAGGAGTTCTAATGAGAAGAAGTGACCAGGGGAGTTCAAACCACGTCTGTTGTGAGATATCAACTCACTGAAGACAATTGGTGAACGGTTGCTCAACTTCGTGGAATGGTTGGAATTAGACATAAACACCATCGGATGCCGACTCAATGGTCTATCGGTTAATTGCTCTGGCGCGAGACTGGTAGGTCCTGGTTTCGAATCTCACGAGGCGGGATTGTGGATGCGCACTGCTGAAGAGTCCCACAATAGGAAGAAACGGTTGTCCAGTGCTTCCAGGTTTCCCCTGGTGGTCTAGCTTCAATTGACTTACGCTTTCAACTATGAAAATACAGTTCATCTTACCTGGATGAATTACGTACCGAACTATAAAATACAGTTTATGTGAAGATTAGTGATACTTCTTGGTTAAGTAGAATGACTCAATCTATTGAATGAATAAGCGAGTATTATAAATGGTAAATCATTGTTATATCGAAATATATTGAACACTTCAATAGATTAATGTATATATTTGATGGTCAGTTAGTCAATTATAAAGATAATTTTCATCACGAACTGACATCAGGTACAAGTATATATTAACAGTTGTCTACGCAAAATACTCAACATTCAATGACCGGATACTACCAGCGACAGCGTTTTATGGCAGAGGACAAACCAGCTTCCAGATGAAGAGGAAATTAGGAAAAGACGTTGGAAGTGGATCGGACATACATTGAGGAAATAACCAAACTGCATCACGAGGCAATCCATAATTTGGAATCCTGAAGGGAAGCGGAAAAGTGGAAGGTCAAAGAACACATCACGCCGGGAAATAGAAGCAGATATGAAAAGAATGAATAACAACTGGAAAGAACTGGAAAGGATTGCCCAGGACAGAGTTGGATGTGGAGTACTGGTGGGTGGCCTATACTCCTCAACGAGGGGAAACAGGCGTAAGTAAGTTGTCAATTATAACCATCATGGACAATGTCACAAATATGAGTTAGCTCGAGTTTTCAATTTTGATAGTAAATATGATCTTAACAACTCAAAGTAATTTTGATTAATTAGAATGATCACATTTATTTCAGTCTAATGATATCGTCACCATCAAAAAGCATAAACCAAAATTACAGATATAAAAGGGATACCACCATCAATCTTGGATTTCAATGGTCATCATAATTTTCAACGTTTTGTTATTTCAATTATTTTTTTCTGGTTAACGCTTTTTAGCGAGTTAGTTTTCTGCGGAATGGGGTCACTAACCCCATAGCCAACCCTCCTTCCTTACCCGGGCTTGGGACCGGAAGTAACTCTATAAGAGCTACAGGTGGAGTTTAACGTTTAGTTACACAACATCTAATTGTATGTGTTCATTTTTTCAAATGTATGTTTAAACATTTTATTACTGATACCTCTTTTTAAATTAGCTCTATTCATTCTTAACCTTAACTCCGCCTGCAGCTCTTTTAGAGTTACTGCCGGTCCCAAGCCCGTGTAAAGGAGGAGGGTTGGGCATGGGGTTGGAGACCCCATCCTGTAGAAAAACTAACTCGCTAGAAGAACGCTAACCAGAAAAAATAATTTAAACCATTTAAACTCTGTCCTGGGAGTTAAAGGAATAAGCAGATATGAAAAAGATGAATCACAACTGGAAAGAACTGGAAAAGATTGCCCAGGACAGAGTTGGATGGAGAATGCTGGTGGGTGGCCTATGCTCCTCCACGAGGGGTAACAGGCGTAAGTAAGTAAGTATTCTTAACCTTATAGACAGTCAGTCTTTATTAATAGTTGAAACTAGGTAAACTACTAAATTTTATATATTTAAAATCATGAGTTAATTGAAGCTAGACCACCATGGAAAGCCTGGGAGCACTGGGCGGTTGTTTCGTCCTATTGTGAAACTCCTCACGCAGCAGCGTGCATCCACGATCCCGCCCCGCGAGATCCGAACCAAGGAGCTATCACTCTCGCATGCAAGCACTTAACCGATAGACCACTGAGCCGGCGTCCCATGGTGTTAATGTCTAACTTCAACCAATCCACGAAGTTGAGCAACCATTCACCAATGTCATCGGTTAGTTGATATCTCCCAACAGACCTGGCTGAACTCCACTGGTTACTGCTTCTCATTAGAACTCCAGGAAACAACTTATGGAGTCAGTCACTAGTGAGCATTTGATCATTATCAGAAGGGGGCTTTGTGAAGATTTCACTCATGATCTCAACTATATAAAATTAATAAAATCTTCACAAAACCCCCTTCTGATAAAATTACTTAATATCATAAAAAGAGAAAACAGCTTGAAAAATGGTATATGAGTAATCCGCATAAATCTATAACTTATAATCATTCAAGTTTCAACCAAATTCATATTGCAGAAGTTGTTATTGGTGTTCTGGACTCAATTGGCTGAGCTAGGCAAATAACAAGACTGCTTATACGGCTTTTGTGTATCATTGGGCGATCAATAAATTCACTACTCTCTAATAGACAAACCAATCGATATAACAGACATCTTATGTCAGTTTTTGTCTTTTTTTTAATATTAATCAACCTTATAAAATATTTTATCCTAATCCACAACTTATACCATTTTTAGTAGTGATCCATACTTTTTGGTAAACACAAAAGGTTCTATATGTGTTCTCTTCATTTTAGTTTGTTATATGTTGATTTGTATAAAACTGAAAATCATCTATGCCATTAGTGATGAACACATAGTATTGTCACTTACTTACGCCTGTTTCCCCTCGTTGAGGAGTATAGGCCACCCACCAGTATTCCACATCCAACTCTGTCCTGGGCAATCCTTTCCAGTTCTTTCCAGTTGTTATTCATTCTTTTCATATCTGCTTCTATTTCCCGGCGTGATGTGTTCTTTGACCTTCCACTTTTCCGCTTCCCTTCAGGATTCCAAATTATGGATTGCCTCGTGATGCAGTTTGGTTATTTCCTCAATGTATGTCCGATCCACTTCCAACGTCTTTTCCTAATTTCCTCTTCATCTGGAAGCTGGTTTGTCCTCTGCCATAAAACGCTGTTGCTGATAGTATCTGGCCAATGGATGTTGAGTAATTTGCGTAGACAACTGTTTATAAATACTTGTACCTTACTGATGATGGCCGTAGTAGTTCTCCACGTTTCAGCTCCATACAGTAGGACTGTCTTGACGTTCGTATTAAAGATTCTCACTTTGATATTAGTTGACAGTTGTTTTGAGTTCCATATGTTCTGCAATTGTAGAAATGCTGCCCTTGCTTTGCCAATCCTTGCCTTTACATCTGCATCCGATCCTCCTTGTTTATCAACGATGCTCCCCAGGTACTTGAATGTTTCCACCTCTTACAGAGTTTCGCCATCAAGTGTGATTGGGTTGGTGTTCTCCGTGTTGCATTTGAGAATCTTGCTTTTGCCTTTGTGAATGTTTAGGCCCATCGATGCGGAGGCTGCTGCTACATTTGCTGTCTTCATCTGCATTTGGTCGTGTGTATGAGAGAGGAGGGCTAGGTCATCTGCGAAGTCCAAATCATCTAATTGATTCTGAGAAGTCCATTGTATTCCGTATTTCCCTTCAGATGTCGAATTCTTCATAATCCAGTCAATCACTACAAGGAAGAGAAATGGGGAGAGTAGACAGCCGTGTCTGACTCCGGTCCTTACTGGAAATGCATCTGTCAGCTGACCTCCATGCACCACTTTGCACTGTAATCCATCGTATGAGTTTTGGATAATGTTGACGATCTTCTGAGGAACTCCATAGTGTAGAAGAAGTTTCCACAATGTTCTCCTATCCACGCTGTCAAACGCCTTCTCATAGTCGATGAAGTTGACATATAGTGATGAGTTCCACTCAACTGATTGTTCAACGATGATCCGTAGTGTTGCAATCTGGTCTGTGCACGACCGATCCTTACGTAATCCAGCCTGATGATCCCTAAGTTCGGCGTCTACTGCGTCTTTCATCCGATTCAGCAGCACTCTGTTGAAAACTTTTCCTGGTACTGATAACAAACTGATACCTCTGTAGTTCTCACATTTGCTCAGATCTCCTTTCTTTGGTATCTTGATGAGATATCCTTCTTTCCAGTCCGTTGGCACTTGTTCCTCTTCCCAAATCTTTTTGAATAGAAGGTGAAGCATGTTTGCAGTTATTTCAATGTCTGACTTCAGTGCTTCTGCTGGTATATTGTCAGGTCCTGCCGCCTTCCCACTTTTGATTTGTCTGATGGCCATCTTGACTTCTTCGATCGTTGGTGGAGTGACATCTATTGGAAGGTCTGTGTGGGCTGCTTCGATGTTCGGTGGATTCGATGGGGCTGGTCTATTCAGCAGTTCCTCAAAGTATTCTGCCCATCTTTTCCTCTGTTCTTGAATCTCAGTGATTGTCTTTCCTTCTTTGTTTTTGACTGGTCTCTCTGGTTTGCTATATCTCCCTGCCAATTTCTTCGTTGTATCATATAGTTGTTTCATATTCCCTTCTCTTGCAGCTTTTTCCGCCGCCGTTGCTAGTTCTCCCATGTATTTCTGCTTGTCGGCTTTAATGCTTTTCTTCACTTCTCTGTTTGCTTCTGCGTAGTCTGCTTGTGCTTTGACTTTCTCTGCTCGTGTTCGGCTGTTGTTAATTGCTAGTTTCTTGTTCTTCCTTTCTTGAAGTTTGTCCAGGGTTCCCATAGAGATCCATTCCTTGTGATGGTGCTTCTTAGGACCAAGAACCTCCTGACACGTTGAAGTTAGTGCTTCTTTTATCCCTTTCCAGTTGTCCTCCAAAGTAGTTTCTTGTTCTTTCAGTATTGTCACTATCCGACTATAATTATGATTCTTCCTTTAATTAAATGAATATAAATGAAGAAACTTACTATGAAGCTTCAAGTAAATACAGTTAGCTCATTTGTATTAGTTGTTTAAATCTTTCCATCAATGTTTAAGATTGGAATAGATCAGTCTCTTTTAGCATATATACATTCTCTGTAGAATATTTAAACAAATAATATAAATGAATTGAAATTCACTCCAGCACATAAGTCATTGTCCGCCTGAACTAAATAGCTAAGTGGATTATGCGATGGTGTTTAAAGAGGATGATACTGGATTCGGATCTGGGAGTGAACATCAACTCTGGGATCCAAGTGTAGTGAACGAGAATACAAGTTCAGGCAATCGACTGTATTAAAACATAAAATTACAGAACATTTTAGTAAAATCTGAGAACTATACAGTAAATAGTTTATCTACAAAATATTAAACAATCGTCTCAGACTTCATTGTTCTTTCGTTTCCACGCTAATCATTCTTCGTTCGCGCTCTCTTTCCCTTGATCATCTTAAACTTTTGCAACCAGGTATTTCACTTTCGATTAATAATACATAGTACTTATATCTGTCGACATCAGTAGCACACAACACACAAGTACTTCCATCTAACGAGTCCCAAACAGGATGGAACAAGCATATCCAATCCCACTACTGGCCGCCATCCAACCCTACTTGTAATGCTTATAACTCAAGGCGATTTGTACAGGATGTATATATATAAAAGAGACTGATCAGTTCCAATCCTAAACATTGATGGACAGATTTAAACAATCAATACAAATGACATAACTGTATTTACTCGAAGCTTCATAGTAGGTTCCCCTCATTTGTATTCATTATAATCGGGTAATGATAATAATGTGTACTCATCACATTGAATGACATGGCTCAAAATCGTTTGCAATGGCGAAAGTGCATCCACTATTTGTGTTCTCCCAAATTCTAATCTTCTGAATTCTTCATGCCTCTATCTTTTCTCTCTTTCTATCTCTATCTCTCCAAATTTATTTCGTCGGATTATACTCCTTAATTAACATCTTCAAACCTTAATCTTTCCCATTAATGCTTATACTCTCACTACTTCTACCACTATGGGATTTGAATCAACAATTGAATCTCTGTGCTAATATTGTGATATAGCAACTCGAACTGATGTGTGCACGTACGAAGTTCTACATTGTAACTGACTGACTGATTGAATGGCATAGATACTCTCTCCAACCCTTTTAGATTTAGTTGCTAACCGACATCAAATAGCAAGTAGTTTACAAAAAGACTTAAATAAAAATAAAAGTCGGCAAACAAATCGAATTACTTTTAATTGATAACTAAATAGTAGTAATATATATAAACTATTTATTTGATCTTCAATTGGAATTTGAAATTTCAATTTTAATTGATCATATATTCCATCATAATTATCATCTAATTGTTGAATAGACATATGAGGTATAATAAGATTTGAACTGAATTGACTATTTAAATCTGTATAGGTACTCCATGTATAGCTGGTTTGATTAGATCCTTTCAATTCCATATAAACTTGTTTTAAAAAACGTATTTGTGGTTGTTCAATATAAATTGAATCTTGTAACCAAAATCCTTTATTCAATAAAAGAACAATATCATCACAATGTTTTAATGAAAAGAAACGTTGTAAACTTCACTTAGTATTGTTTGTTTGAATCGTCCTACTGATGTAGGTACATCTAGCTGACGTGTCCCTAATGGGATGAAACACGCATCTTGGATTCCACTATTAGTCACTATCCATCTTTGCTTACAAAGTTGTAAAATGTTTAAAATATAGAAAATCTTTAGTTCGATTACTTAGTTATCTTAATGATTAGCCGAACCATTGAACCTTTAACACTGCCGCTATCCGGATCAGGAACTTATACGACTAATTCATTTAATATATCTCTCACTAACGGCGATTAGTAGTTTCATGTGTTGTGTAATATAGCTCAGAATCGATCATATTAGCCTATAACCATTTTCATTTTATCATCAGTCACTCTGTCCTTTCACTATACATACTTCTAATTCCTTCATACCATGCTGGTGTATTGTGACAACTCAGGCTGGTGTACATTTATGCATTAATCCACGTTGCCTATGACTGACTTGCTAAAATATCTATGTCTAAGTTCATATGCATGTTACTTCTAAGAAATGATAGATGTGATAACCGTCGGTTACGTTGGGAATAGATACTTTTCTCCTCAATAGACAAACTCGAATTTGATGCTAAGTTATTTGTTTGAAGGAATACACAAGTATTTTCAAAAATGAATCGCATAACCTTGTGATGTTGTGAATAATTAACTTGACAAAATACCTCTGCATAATAAACTCTAACTCTATGGTAGCCGTGGTATCATTTGATGTGAACGTAAAGTCACATTTGAGAAATTATTTATCAGTCTCTTCACTTAGATAATGTTTTGAGGTAACCCTCTATAATCCTGAAATGATCAGTTACTTTTACACCAACAAGTTTGTTTATCTAATCAGGTAGACGTTTATAGAGGAATAGTATACAGGACTGAAAGACACACAATATCATGCATATAATCTGTGGTTAACGAGAACAACAATAAAGAAAGCACTTTTGTAGAAAAAAGCCATACAATCCTAAATAGTGTCAACTAATTTGCACAAAAATAATGAATGAAGTATTTATCTTAAAGTAAGCAGCTTTTCTATCATTGAATACAATCAAGCGTAAATGTATTTAGCTCTTAAATTGTCAACACAATTGCAGTATATTTAATCTATGTAGGTCTAAGTAAAACCTTCGGTGAATTTACTCATCTTGGTCTTAATTTAAAATTGTAAAATTTTGAAATCAGTTATAGGATTAGAGACTGGATAACTGACTTCCTCAGTGACAAGGGGCAACTGTTTAGAGTAAACAGTACCTTATCATCATAAAAATCTTTAAAGAGTGGAATTGTGTGGTGTTTGTACGAATTAATGACTGTTTTGTACTCCATTCCTGGTTGAGTTTGAATTATAAATGCAATACATTTAGTTGTACTCACCTAGTTCTATTTGGCATAATTTGCACTGTTTCGAGAATTCCTAGTAAATACAATAATTCGAATACTTCTAATTATCATGAAAATCTTAGGTCGCCTTCGTTTTCTTAAATTGTGCAAGTGATTTACCAAGTGTTACAAAGTTATCTGTTATACCCTTTCTGATGATACCAAAATTTAGAGATTGATACAGAACGTGATTAATAAGATAGGATTGTAGTGACCTACTTTTGTGATGAGAACGCAATTGATATAATGGAAACAATTACTATTATAACCACTTGTATCAGTTATTGTTTTACTGTGCTCGTTTGCTTAAATGTACCAAAGACACATTTCCTTCCGTTGCCTATGACCTTTGACTAGCTTGCTTACACTCAGTAGTTCCGCCCGTAAACTTTGGTACATCTCGGCATTCTTTCGATACCACGAGATCGCTAACAAATATATCTTATTTCAGCCATCAACAGCCTTCTGGTTTTTGGCCTACCGAGAGATCCAACTCGATATCTGGCACTTAGTCTTTCTGTAATGGTGATCATAGTCAATCGTGACTCGACGCCATCTATAGGGTTACAGAAAGACTTAGACGAACCAATTGAGTCGACGAATAGATGGTCATTCGAAACAAAGTTAAACAAGTGTATTAATGCAAATCAGACTTATATAACCACTCAATAAGCAGAATAGTAATGCCTGCGGCTGTGTATACACCCCAAAAACAAATATTTTTGTAAGTCTTTGACATTGGTGTTGACATTATTATTTTTACTGAACACACGCTATCTAAAGGCGCTCGGTCATTAATCCATACTGAATCACAAGAGAGTATATGGTGCTACGCACCCATCAAAACTACTAACCAGCTTAAATCAAATGTTATGAATATCGAAAACTTCCTAAAACTATCTTTAACCTCCTTTATTCCCGAATTTTGTCTTGATTGGTAGGTATCTTTCGATTGTAAGCGCGTTAGGATTGTAAAGGAGACAAATGTACGCAAAATGATGCATAGACCTCAGACACAAACACTAAACAATCAATTAAGTGGATCTATCAGTTTAATAATAACTGCGTTTAGTGGATGGAAGAGTATATAGTATATAAATATATATTTAGAAACATATGTTTGCACATATGATCAGCAGCAAATTGTACGGCACACAAACCAGATAGAAGAAGGTTATGAAGTTGAGTTAAAAGCTGAGAGAATAACAATCATAAGGAAAGACTACCGTTTGCAAAGTTAAGTTACCAAAATGTATGTGGTGTTTGTACGAACCAATGCTTCCCCTTTATTTGTTGAATGGGTTTGTATTGCTTTCCAAATACAATACATTTGTTCTTGTTCATGTAATACCTATTGATCATATTGCGTCGTTTCTGTTTAGTTTATACAATAATTCAAATACTCTTAAATATCACAAGATATTACTCAATTTGGCGAAAGATTTATCATTATCTGAGAACCTTTTGGTAATCCGTATCATACAATTTTGGGGAAACTTTGGAGAAATGCTATGAAATAGCTAAAACTGTCTCACGCTTTCAGGCATCACTCAAACTTTCACGTTATTCACGTGATAGTTTTGTTCACTAACTTACCATAATACTTTTTGTAACTTACCGCCCGAGCGATAGCATATAAAGAAAGGAACTATAAGAGAAGATATGGTTATGATCAACTGAAATGCTGTCCCAATGTGGAAAAATGGAAAGTGTATTTCTCTCAACACTGGACAACGATATATTTCAAGAAGCGCCATTTATATTCATAGCTACGCCTGATGAGCTTATCGGTTTAAACAAAATATTTAAACGAGCTGTGTTTATCAAAGCAGATTGGCTTACTAGGCGTAAGAAGTTTCTTCTCGTTTATTCCTTTAAAAAAGTTTGTTTTGGTCTGTAAATCAAATGTAATTATGTGCTTTTTTCGGACTGACACTCAAACTGTTGAAAGTCTTTTCTTGTGTTCAGATGAGATTTCAGTAAAGAAAATCCTTGTTATATACCTAGTTTTCTATAGACTACATCCTCCTTCTATGTTAGGTTTCGGGAATAAATTAAAAATTTAGATTTGGTAAGGAATGTATTCGACTCAAATATTCTGGAGACACAGGACTACGGCTATGACGAAGATACCATAAGATTTAACGCGGATCACCATGTAGTTTGAGCAAAAATGATCTTTAAAAATGTCTGAAAACTGTGCACCCACTACCAGAAGTGATAGCACAAGCGTCATCTGATTATTCTAAAAAGAGACTGGACACTAACTCTAGTTCTCACATGACTGAAAGGAACTGCTCCTGGTGCTCTACTCAAACTCACCTTTTATTGTGAGAAACTCATCTTAGTTTATGTTTCTGAGAAGTAAAAACGAAAAATTCACTTTCTCATAACCAAGGTCTTTTTCCTTTCTTGGAGAGCAGAGGATTCTGAAACTTCCTAACCCACTTTTTTGTTCAGTATTTCAATTTTCTTGTTCTTTGAAGGATGACACATCGTTTTCGTTCGCCACTACCTAGATGTATTTAACGATCAAAGAGGAAAAAGATTGATAAACTACGGTGAGGTGCTAACTTTATTCCCTAAGAATATGCCACGTTTTCTCATAATGGATTACTGGGAAGTCGTTTGGACTAGCTCAGCCAGCAGCAAATTCCGTCATTTGACTAGACTTAAGGCCTAGAAAGTGTGTCTACAGTCCATTCTGCTGTGTTGTGTGTCAAGTATCTGGGTGTTACCTCTTGGATTTTCCGCTTGCCATCAAGAGTGGCTATCCATCTGTCCACAGCGGTCAGGTGGTCGGTTATACAGAGGTGACCTTTGATGAATCTTTGCTTCCCGGGTGAAAAGAAGTTTATGGGCAGTAAGTTGTCTTGTAAACCGTCTCATATCACGGACTCCATAATTTTTCGGGGGACAGAGATTAGTGCTATTGGTCGGCAGCTGCGTCAACTCCCTTTAAAAACTGGTGTGGTGGGAGTCAGCTTTCAACGTTCTGGTATTGTCCTTCGGCTTAGCGAGTGTGTGAACACCACGCTAGGCGGTGTTCTGAAGATTGTATCTGTTTTCCTTATTATGGAGAAATGGACCATATACGGGCTTTTAGAAGTGTACTTGTCTAGTTGCTTCATTTTCCGGTACACCAAGTTAGCCCTCATCCTCACCCCATAGAGTCCTGTTGAGTTACAGATGAAACCATCATCAATATAGTTAGTTTGGATCGGTTTAAATGTCCGAACACAGTTCTACCGAAAGGTCACCGTTGTCACTGTCGTTTTTGGTGGGGTCATTAGGACATAACAGTTGGGAAACTCCGATATTAGTTTGAAGCAGAGTAGCTGCATTACGGAATAAGCCTTTCTGATTGGAGACAAATTTATCGATTATCTTTATCTGATACTGAGATCTTTCTTTTTTATTGCCTTTGTGCATCGGTCGTTTTCTCACTTAAATTCCACGTATGCGCTGTTGTTACCAGTTCTTCTGTATTCCTTGCAGTGTGCGTTTTGTGGCTTAACGAACAAAGAGTGCGATACATAAATTCTCCGATATTGTTTGTCTAACAAATTCTCTGAACCGAATACGCTTCGACTACTAGTGATATTGTGGGGAGTAGTGTAACGTCGTGTACTATATTACACCTACATAGCTTATTCTAGTTTCTGGACAAGCTAATTCACCTATAACGTTATGAGTCATATTTTGATCTCGTTAATTATTCGCTTATTGACCTTGACTATTTTTTATATGAGCGTATGTGTATGCACACTTCTTATCCTTACTATCACATGTCTGTCATTCATTTTTGTCTGACTATAAATGTTGATTAATGCTTGCTCAGAGAGAGTTGGCTTACCAGCCATCTCCCATGCATGTCATTTTTTACTTCGCTCGCTAACATTTGCTCATGTGCTCACTGCCTTCTAGCCTATGTTATTTGTCAATAAGAATGTAGTTGCTGCTTCCCTTTGTCTTCTGATATTATACACCGTTCAGATTGATATAATAATGGTTATCGAGACTCTCGATTAACGAAACACGGCACTACAATATCTCTACTATTGAACACAGGTCCCACTTTATTATTGACGGTATTCAGTTCTGTGATGTATAACAGCTTAGATAGGTTGATCCAACAGGCATTCTGTTATAAACGTATAACAATCGTTATTGTATATGAAACGTGCAATGATACGGAAAATACGTACGAGCAGTCTTGATTGCTATTCGGTCCTTCCTAACTGCCTAGCCCAGCCAGTTGAGTCCAGAACACAAATAACAGCCTCGGTAATATGAATCATTATTCACAAGCACACTGGGTTATATATACTAACCAAACAGACCCAATTATACCAAAAAATAGAAAAATAACATTTGTACAGTAATTGGCCAATGTGGCTATGGATAGGGGGAAAGTAATCAATAATAATAGTTCAAAGGTCAAAATAAGGTTACGGTAAGAGGAACACGAATACAATTAGGTCAGTTATTTAACAACTAAACAATAGGAATTAGGCATATTACCTTTGTCCATAATAGACCTCAGATTTACCATTCATGATTCACCAGGGGATATAACACATTCCTAGGGGGACGTTAATGTCACAGCTAAGGTTGATTGGTTAAGAGTTGAACCCAAGCAACTAAGTATATGTCAAAACAATAGAGCTCTAGTATTCATTCACTTCCTTATTCCTTATAGGCACTATATTTCCTGTTGTCTTACATTTAATGTTGAAAACCTTCGTTTGTTTTTACAGGTTATCCCTCGCTCCACTGTGGCTGGCACGTGATCTATATCAAGATCTATTCACTGTCAGTCTGGTTTCTACTATCAATAGAACGAGGGTTACCTAAAGACATGAAAGATGAACCAGTCTAAACCATCCGGCGATTATACGAGTGAATAACTATAAAACAGGTAGTTACACTACTCTAGCTGTCAAACAGCTGGACATGGTCAAATAGGACGCCACTCTGTCTCATCCAGAAAAGAATAAACATTTAACTGAGGAGCGATTTGATTTTACATCAGACCTCTGATATCTGATTATTTAATACAGTGTTCTTTGGGCTCTAAATCACAGAGTCGATTTTGATTTTATATTATTCTAGGTGTTAAAAAATCAATAATTTTGATATTGGAAATTAATTACTAGCAGAAAATAGAAGATTTGTAATAACTCTTTATATTCCCTGTGTCCTACAGCTTTAAGATACCACCGCGACTACTGTGATATCCAGTGCTGAGATAGACATTTTCTCATTTCACTTCATTCATGAGAAGTCCTCTTGCTTTTAAAGAGTTTTTCACCTGATCTCAGTTACCAAAAAACCAAGTTCAGTCAGAAACTAAGTGTTTATGATAAGACAACTAGGACTACTAAACATCCGTTGTTAAAACAGTACCACATTTATTAGGCACTGATTATATAATTCTAATGTCTTAGGTACATAAATAATTCACTGTTTTGTCTTATTGTTTTATACCAGTTTCATTCATGTTTGTTAGTTAAAAGTGGTAACTAATATAGAGTAAATTGTACCTCAATTAAAGTTGTATTTTGAAAATCTACAAGCAGTGTTAACAATTCATTATGCTAAAATTCATCAAGCGTCATCACACTGAGACATTTAAACATGAAAGGTCCTGTTGATGTCAACTGAATTAAAAATAAATTTCAAATCATCATAATTTGATTAACAAAAAAATCACTGACAAATGAGCGTCATTCAGACCAATGTCGTCGTTAAACTAAAACTAATGGATAAGACGTTTTACTTAATTACTTACGCCTGTTACCCCTTGTGAAGGAGAATAGGCTACTATCCATCTAACCCTATCTTGGGCAATCTTTTCCGGTTCCTTCTAGTTGATATTCATCGTTCTCATGTCCGCTTCCAAGTTCTGACACAGTGAATTTTTCGGCCTTCCTATTTTCTATTTCACTTCAAGATTCCAAGTTAAGGATTGCCTCGTGATGCAGTTTGTTGATTTCCTTAATGTATGTCCTATCCACTTCCAACGTCTTTTCCTCATTTCCTCTTCATCTGGAAGTTGGTTTGTCCTCTCCCATAAAATGCTGTGGCTGATAGTATCCAGCCATTGAATGTTGAGTATTTTGCGTAGACAACTGTTTATAACTACTTGTAACACAATGGTTAATGTTATAAATACTAAATAACAATAATAGACCAGAATGAAAAAAATTAATTTCATAATTGAATGGTCATACAATGACGCCAACTATGTGAAATCCGATTAAATTTAACATTAATAAGTGGGTGTCAGTGTGGAATGTTTATATAATACAGAATAAAATGAACAAGTGAACATCACACCACTATAACGATTTTATCATATCAATATGAGATCTACTGTATTTAAGTATCAACAATTTCAGGTTGGAAGCTCTTGGTTTTGATGGCCTATTCAAACTGAAATGAAAGTGAACAGCTGTGTGATAATATTCACATTGTGTCTACTATCCATCAAGTACTCAGTGATCGTGTCGAGATAATTATCGCTAGACTTCGCTGACCGTGTAGAATTAAATATCAAAAACAAGATTACATTATTGAAGTGTATGATAGAGATATTTTAAACCGATCAAATTAGCAATCAAATGGGAAGAGAGTTCAAGTATGCCCTGTTACGGCCGAGAGTGGAGAGAGTCCACTCTCCCTCTCTAAATGCTTTCACATGGCCACATGTAAATAGCCTCTGACAGGAAAGTCTTACTCACTACCTTCTCGTGGCACCGGTGTTGTTCACAAAATTGAGA